AATTGTTGCCGCGTGCTGATTATCCCCCCCCCCCCCCACTGGTTAAAGGTTTGACATATTGACTGTGTTTATGATTACTACCAGTCATTTAAAAAAAAAAACTGATTTCAAGTTGAAATTGTGTATAACTCAGTGACTGTAAAATATGTGTTTTAGGTATTTGAGCTATTTTTGTTTTGCACTGATTTGATTGATTTTTGTAGTGGCCTCATTAAGACTATTTTTGTTGGCAGAGCAAAAATACACAAGGTAACTGGCAATAACAAGTCTAAAATGTAAGTTACACAATTCTTATTTGTTGAACTGTTGTATCTTTATAGTGCAAAAGTTGTGTTTGTGTGATATTCTCTAATTAAAACATACCCTAAAGAAAAAATGAATGTCCAGTGAAGTGCAACACCCTGTGGACTGATCTACAGATTATCTAGGGTAGAGTTTATAAACAACCTGGAGGTGATGATGATTTATGTCAAATCATGATGAAATATGCCTGTGTGCCAATTACTCTCACCCTCTGAGGTTGAAGTTAGACAGGGCATCCATTATTGTCAAGTGTTTTATACAATTTACTTCTAGGGTTTGGATCTCACATAGATAAAACAAACTACATCCATATAGATTTTCTCCCATGCTGTTCTTTCTTTGAAGGCCAGAATTCAAATATTTAGCCTGCACCTGAGTTTCAAGCCTTCACACTCACTAAAGCATGGAAAAAAGTAGTCAGGAAACGTGCCATCTAAAAAAATGAGGCATGAAAGGATTCGAAGACTTTCTCAGACAGTAGTAGAAGTGAGCATGAAAGCACATTTCATATATGGGTTTTTAAGTGCTCCCTGTAAAACTGGAAAAAAAATTCTAATAAATTTTTTTTTTTTGTAGCTTTCCAGTAAAAATACTTAAAGAAGATACATTTGTCTGAGAAGCAAAATTGTGCAAGATAAGAAGACCTATTTTTTATGTTTAAACATGGAACTCTAAAATAATATATATATGTGTGTATGTATTTATTTATTTATTTTTATTGTTTGCAGTACTGTATATGGCTTTTCTTTTTACTCTACATTTTTATGGCTGCTTTTTTTTGATTCAATGTGGCTTTATCAACATTATGTGACAGCTTTCTGTAGCTGAAATAATAACTCACCTCACCATTTCCCAGCAACCTTATTAAGCTCTGGTTAGACAGATGTGACAAATTCAACACCATGTGCAAAAATCACCTCAGGCTGTAATACAGTCAGGTAACACTGACCTAAAGCCCAATTACAGACCTGTGATGTCCTAGTACCAACTCTCAGCGCTGACCCTGCACCTCACAGTGCATTGGTCTACATAATCTCCCACCATTTGCTTCTGGAAACTACAATCCAGAAAAATTCCAAAAAAGATGCTGCTACACCAGGGTGTGACAGATGTAGTGAGATGACCAGGGAGGGAGAACAGATTTTACCAGGTATCGACAAAACAGCAAAAACCATGAAATGTCCCACACCATTTATGCTACAGACATGAGTAGTACCTCAGATTTCATATATTATTGAGGAGATACGTGATATATTTTTTATTTTTTATTTTAAAGTGATTAGACTTAAAAATTTTCACCTGGTGCTTGAAAAAAATTATTTTGAATAGTAATTAAACTGCCCCTATTATGCCATTTTTACGGTTCCTAATAACTGCATCTCAGCCCCCTGGCATTTAGGGAAACAAAAGATAACGACATGTCAACAACCAACCTAGAACAAAAGCTGCTTCAGTCAGCTGAACAATATTTTAGGCTACTTAGCCAACAAACAAAATAAACTGTGAAAAATAAATACATAATACAGAAAGACCCAAAAATCAATACTTACAAGAAGCAAATTTCACAACAAACAGTCATGGCTTCATACCATTTTGTTAATCCACCGTTCAAATTAGTCAGACATCGCCACTGAAGGGGGATACACCTCCCTCCCTTCAATAAAAGCTCGGCCACCCACGAAGTACGCTTTCTTACCAGCCTTGCGTGCGCTATCAATCATGGGCCATAACAGCTGTCTCTTTTCGCGATCAGTTTTACACAGGTCTTCAGTGAATCGAAGCTTGTTTTCTTGCAGAAATTATGATTTTTTGGCTGCTTTCCAAACTGCGTCACGAAGTGCACGAGTGATGAACTTCATGATGATCACTCTGGAATCCTTCTGCTCCTTCCTCTTGGGACCCAGGCGATGTACTGCCTCTATGCCATCCACAAGCCTAGATTTCTCCTCTGGTAACAAAGCTTGGCAGATCTTTATGACTTCCCTCCGGACGTCCTCTGCCTCGGTCTCGCGAACTCCATATAATTTGAGGTTCCATCGCCTAGAGTACGCTTCCAAATCGTACACACGCTTTTCGATCTGATCGACCGAAGTAGTATACTTCTGTAACTTTTGTTCCATGCAGGACACGTTTTCTTTAAGCATAACAACTTCAGCACAACTTGATTCAATTTTTTTCTCCAATTCGTCCAATCTAGCACCCAACTTTTTTTCAATTCCGTCTGCCCGATCGTTAATTAGCTGGGAGAGCGTGGTGATGATATTGTCACCATCCATAGTGATTTCTTTTCTTCTTTCTCTTTTCGGAGCAGGGGATTCCCTAGGAGTAACTGGCAATTTATGGAAGTCTTCGTCATTGACCGTAATCAACTGTTCCACATAATCATGACAAGCGTCCATTAAGACATTGGTAGTAGCAAGAGCGTTAGCACCTGTGTTCGATCCTTTTCTTTTTTGCTTTAAAGACATGTTTCCACCACAAGTCAACCAAGTATCATATAAACAACTAACTTAAGTTGAACGACAGAAAACTGAGTTTTTATAAAGAACAAATAACTACTTTTTCACGATCAAAATAAAAGTTGGCAAAGCAGAGCTAATTAAAGCACGTCTTCTCTCTGCGCCATCTTGCGCCACCCAACTCACCGAGATTAGAGAAGCAGTCTTCAGTAGAATGACGTGTTTGTGGGCGGGGTCAAGTTGTTCGCGGCCGGCCAACGTAGAACATAGGCGCGCATTATGCAAATGTGTTACCCCCTGACATGTAGCCGTCACGGAAGTGGGATTCGAATTACTAATGACTTGTTTCAGCTGTTCAGAGTCGATTCTTTATTTTGGGAGACTAATAACTTTATTTATCGTGCACTTTCAGCTTTACAAATTTGCAGATTGTTTACATTCACATACAGCTACATTACACACTGCATGAAAGGCAATATTGGAAATGGCATAATAGGAGCACTTTAAAACCTCTTAATACCCCAACTGCCCAAAATAAAACTGTATTTGAAACACTTCGTAGACATCAATCTCACACATACCTGACACAAGAGACTCCTAATGGTCTTTGATAGTTATGAAATCAGTAGGCCTATACAGCGGCATACTGTGTCGTAATGTATATGTTAGAAACAACATTTTTATTTTTTTTAAGTATGCGTTATTTAGGAGATTGTATATTCCGTTGTCTATGATTCTGGAGCATGCTGACTAATGGTAATGGAAAATATCTGTGCTACTGAAATGCTGCTATGTCGTTTTTGCTAAACAGTATAGCTCTTTGATGTGCCATACATGTGAGTTTAATGTATGATTCTGTTGTACATGTCGCCATGTAAATGTAAATTATGGTTTTGTGAATTTGAAAAGCAAGGTTCAGTGGGGGATTATGATTTTCTATCCTCTGACTTGAACTTTAACACACACCAACACTGAGCGTGCTGAACATGATGTAGCGCAAAGCACAAAATGAATATTTTCATATCAACAATTGGTTTTACCTAAATGACTGCTCCCCTCAGTGCCAGGTGCACATGCTTTATGTGCAGTTTTACATTATTGCATTCTGTTATTTATTTATCTGCACCAAATTGAATTTTCCATCTGGCCCAAGCTATAAAGCCGTCTTTGTTTGCTGTTAGATCATTACTCATGATTTTACCTTCTTTTTCCTCTCAGGGGACGTCAGGGCTGCTTTATCCAGAGGAGAGAAATGCACTGTGAAACATTGCCCCGTTTCCACAGCGTTAGGGTTATTTCATCCTGCTGTTGCTATGCAACAATGTGAAATGTTGGCACAACATGATTTAGATCTCGCACAACAATAAAATCCTGTGCATAGCGGCGAATGAAACCTCTCTACCTCCACACCTTTAATGTTGCCAGCTGTAGGCGAACACAATATAAAACACTTTTATTATAGAATTTCTGTCTCAAGTACACCACGGTCTGTTTCTCATTCTAAAAGCTACTTTTTTCCTAATCTTATAATAATGCTTGATGTCTGTCTGTATAGATTTGATATGGCATCACTGATATATTTTGTACAAGACAAAAAAAAAAAAGAGAGAGAGATGTTGGCTATGTTCCAACTTCCTGGTAACTGTGTGCAGATGTATTTTACACTAACTGCTGCAGAAAAAGAGCATTCAAATAACACTTTAATTAGCCGTGTTGTTGATGTGTCCTAGATAGCAGTTTAGAACAGGTGTTTTTCAGCTGATAAGATCTTTCTTATGTTAAAACTGAACTGATAAGGTGCAGTGTGGCATGAAATAGGCATATTTTGAATGTAAGGCTAATGTTTTTGGGCTGCGTGTTTGATAAAGATAAAACTCAATTACCAAAGCTTTTATTCACAGATAAGGTTTGCTTAGCCTTTATGACTTATGCAGAGCCTATTTAAAGAAGGATGATACAATTGCTTCAAAAAACTTAAGAATGAGCTACCGTATTATTGTTATTTTTGTATTAGAAACAGCCTTTAGTTCTGTTTCCAGTCAGCAAATTTTATAAATTAGAAAAATGAATTCATATTCACACATCAGCTAAAGGGATTGATTATCTCAGTTCGTAATGTTTTAAAAAGACATGACCAGAAACCTAAAATGGCTTTGAAAGCAGGCTGCCATTTAAGTTATGAAATTACCACACTGTTTTCGATAATAAAGCTTACAGTAATATGAATATTGCCAACATTATTGCTTGCTGGTAATTCTACTATCTCAATTTAACCTCTACCATGGCGAGCTCCAATCATCTGACATTGTGTCTATATTAAGAAATGAGAATTACAGCATATTAAACACAATCAATGTACTCTATGTGGGCTGTAAAGAAAGAGTCTTGAGGATATGTGTGTGTGTGATGGGGAGGGGGAGGTATAATAGTGCCTGAAAAAGGAGCAGAGAACATTAATCATGGCTCTCTTTCACGGCCTTGACACATGAGTCACAGAAAACTCTGTTTATCTGTGCTCAGAGAAAGAAAGTAAGAATAAATATAAACGCTTTATAGATAATTCCCTACAGAGCGGCAGAAAGCTGTCCTTTCAGACAGCTCTCTCTTTCTCTTGCCATCAGACAGTGCCTCAGATCATCCAATTATTTCCCCCACTGCTAAAGCGTCTGCTAAATGACTAAATGTAAATGTAAATGTAAATATTCGAGATCTTGAATATGATTTATGGTGGATATTATGCAAATCTTATTCAGTCTGTTTGTTTCAGAAATGAAACAAGTGCCTGTCATTATAAGCATTGTGAATCATTAACTCAATCAATTTGTTCAAAAACACTGATTAATTCAGAACAAAAACACAATTGTATGTTGCCGAGTTTTTGATTATGCTTTGGCTTCCTTTCTTATGGAATTACTTTTGTGTCAATAAAAAATGAAAATAACTTTTCAATAAACTAATCGAAAATATAAATTGAAACTGAATAAAATGTCAAAATAAAATATAAACTGAATAAAATTGCAGGCAAAATCTTTGACTTTGTTTTTAATGCACTGCATGTTTTGCTGTTTTCTCTTCTTTCTTTCGCTGATCTGTACTTACAAATGTATGGTGGCCGAGAGAGCTCAACGTAAAAACACACGCAAATAGAAAAAACACCTGCACATTAAGAAAACATCATCAGTTTGACAACACGCGCAAATTTGCAGCGCATTTCTGTATTTGGTTGTGTTGTGAGAATTTGCAGAGTGTTTCTGTATTTGGTTGTGTTGTGAGATTTGGCAGCGCGTTTCTGTATTTGGTTGTGTTGTGAGAATTGGCAGCGCGTTTCTGTATTTGGTTGTGTTGTGAGTCTTTGCAGTGCGTTTTTGTATTTGTTTGTTTGTGTTGTGAGAATTTGCAGCCCGTGTGTTGTCAAATTGATGAAGATGTTTTCTTAATTTGCAGGTGTTTTTTTTCCTATTTGCATGTGTTTTTTTCATTTGCAGCACGTTGAGCTCTCTCGGCCATCATACAAATGCACCTCCATAATTTTCATTTACGCTCCCTGAGTTTTTGTTCATCATTCTGGCACAAATCTCTCGTGGGGGTGGGGCTAGCAGCGGTGTTCTCATTGGCTACTGAGTTTATGATTGACAGCTTCTTGACCTGGAAGTGAAGATATTTATCGGCATTTATCTGCTGCTACAATACATTGTTGAGATGATTTCAGAAATAGCACAGATGAATGATATTATCATCAATCATCGTCGCTATCAGGATACTGGATACTCGCAGTAAGTTGTCTTGCTTTAGTCCAATCATTACAGGAACTGGTTATTAACATACAGTTACAGTCTTCAATTAGATCATGTTTGCTTTGATTAGATCATATTTCCCCCCAGAGTACTGTACAGTACTAAATGTACTGTATCTGACAATGACCAATTCAATTTTACAAGAACGCTGTCAACCACTGCATTTGACAAAAACTTTTACAAAAAGTAGTCTTTAATAATGCCTAAATATATGTCCAAATGCAAAACATAATACATTGTTTATTGAACTGTTGAATAGAATCACATTTGTAATCATGCTGATTTTAGAGGTGGCACTCTTCGTGTGACATTGACTAACTTTCTTTCTGTGGTATTTTTATGCACAATGGCGTTTAGTCTTTCACAAAACATAGCTAACATAGGGACATCATAACTAGCCATCATATTGATTTACGGTCTTAAATATGTCCAGAGCTTTTTTTTTTTAGGTCTGGTCCCTGTTTTTATACAGTCTATGGTCTGGTCCAGCGTTTATCGGGTTGTGCATCAGTATTAATGGTCCGTGGGGAAACACTTTGTTCCGTGTGTAGTTACAGTAAATGGACTAAACGAAGCCTCAAGGCAAATAATTTGCCTCTATGATTTTTTGTATTCGAGTTACTCGAGGTATTCGAGGAATCGTTTCAGCCCTAATATGTATATATATATATATATATATATATACACATTTATTATTTATTAATTTGTTTCAAATATTTTAAGTGTGAAATTTGTCATGTGGGAGTTCAAAGCAGTTTGTATTGTTATACTATAATACATCTTACCACATATAACACAACTTTACCTTAAACAAAATTCTGATGCTGACCCAGAGGATATAATGGTAGTACCAGAGATCCATTGCCCCCGTTAGACAAGAATCTTATTTTTTTCAGACTCATCTTTGAATGACTGGGATCCTGATCTTCAGACACCTGATATTATGCAAATATATTAATTTCTGTGGAGAAATTAAACAAACACAATTCACAAGTACACAAGATGTTGCACTTTATTCATATTAGTCTATGCTGATCTTGGATTAGCATACCAGCAGCATATGATTGTTAAAGGAACACGCCACTATTTTTGAAAATAGGCTCATTTTCCAACTCCCCTAGAGTTAAATAGTTGAGTTTTACCGTTTTCGAATCCATTCAGCTGATCTCCGGGTCTGGCGGTAGCACTTTTAGCTGCAGCTTAGCATAGATCATTGAATCTGATTAGACCGTTAGCATCTCGCTCAAAAATGACCAAAGAGTTTCAATATTTTTCCTATTTAAAACTGGACTCTTCTGTAGTTACATCGTGTACTAAGACCGACGGAAAATGAAAAGTTGCGATTTTCTAGGCCGATATGGCTAGGAACTATACTCTCATTCCGGCGTAATAATCAAGGAACTTTGCTTTCCATAGGTGCAGCAGGCGCAATGAGCCTATTTTCAAAAATTGTGTTCCTTTAAGGGGATAGTTCACCCAAAAATAAAAGTTCTCTCATCTTTTACTCACCCTCATGGTGTCCTAGATGCTTATTACTTTCTTTCTACAGGTAAACACAAATTAAGATTTTTAGGAAAATAATCAATCTCTGTGAGTTCTAAAGATGCTTTAAAAACCACACACAGCGACTGTGACAGTAATCCATCTGACCCCAGTGGTTGAATCAGTGTCTTTTGAAGTGAAAACAATAGATTAAAAAACACCAATAATTAGACTGTTTTGATTATTAACAATCACTTCCAATCAACTCTTATATGTGCATGGGTTACAATCCACTTGTGTTATATGAATTCATGTGGATGGATTATTTTCTTAAAAATCTTTTTTAGTGTTTATGTGAAGAAAGAGAGTCATATATAGTACATCTGGAATGGCATGAAGGTTAATGAGAATTTTAATTTTTTGGGTGGAGTATCCCTGCAAAGACTGATATTTCATTACATTACATAACATACTCATTCACTGTTTTGCTACTTATACTGCAACATGAACTGTTCAAAGAATCATTGCATCGTTTAAAACATATGGATTTTAAACATATTCTGTATATTATGTACTTGTGCATTTTGTATAGTAATGTATATTATGAGAATTATAACAATTTACAGTAAGGTTTATTAGGTAACATTAGTTAACTACTTTAGTTAACATAAACTAAGAATGAACAATACTTCTACAGCATTTATTAATATTAGTTGATGTTAATGTCAACATTTACTAATGCATTATTAAAATCAAAAGTTGCGCTTGTTAACATTAGTTAATGCACTGTGAATTAACATGAACTAACAGTGAACAACTGTATTTTCATTAACTAACATTAACAAATATGAATATATACTGTAATAAATGTGTTGTTCATGTTAGTTATTACATTAACTAACTAATTGCATCCAAGTCTTTCTCTTTGATACCTGTGTATATGCTGTAGTGCCAATTAAGAATGTAAATTTATTTGAAATAATTCACATTTTCAATCACATTCATTCAACTGGTTTATAAAAGTCACAATTGAAAGAGTTGATTGTTAAAAAATTTATTTCCAATTTTAAATGTTAGATGATAATATTAACTAAATAAAATAACTAAACTAAATTATCAGCATGATAAAAACAATTGGCAGCAATAACATTCTTTGTGTGGAATATGTAATGAAATAACCTTTGTGGTCTGTACAAAGGTTTCCACTTCCAAAAACGGTATACTACTGTAAAATTAATGTCCAATACATGTAATGTCCAATACAGTTTTTCACCGTATATAGTAGGGGAATTTACAGTTAACCATTTAACAGGTTTTTACTGTAGCATTTTTACAGTCTTTTACCATTAAATTCACGGTCATTTTTTACAGTGTACACTAAAAATACACAAAATTGACACTATTTGTGTCCAAAATATAAGTTACTCAATAACATCTTGTTTAATGAACTGTTGTATAAAAGCAACATCACACTGGCAATCACTTTTACTCATTTGCTCATAATAATTCTGTTAAACAGTAATAAAAATTTACTTTCAATGCAGTAAACTTAATTGCTTAACATCTACTGTGTTTAGCTTTCAAGCATAGCTTTGTGAAAATTACTACTCTCCAGACAGTCTGATAAAAACACTGTGGACGTAGCAGAAAGAGAGACTTATAAACAGCTTTTAACCTGCCATTTGTGTATGTTTCTTTCTTTTTTCCTTCTTTCTTGTGTAATATTCATGAGGAAAACAAGAAAGTGACAATCGCACTGGGAGGTGGACAGTCTGACAGTTTGTGTGAGTTTACACAAGGAGAAAGCCACGGTTGTTCTCTTGCTCTCTCCCATCACTTGCTCACACTCCTCTCCTGCACTCCCCCTCAGTGTGAGTTTAATTATCCTGCTCATTCTCTTATCTGATTCACACACACATCCAATACTCAATTTTCTCTGCTTTAGGACCCTCACTTCTTCCTATACTTTTATTCAGCCTGAAAGGGAAAGCAGAGATTCAGCTGGCAGCATGGTTGATTTTATCATAAAGAGGTTATTGTTGTTTTATGGCCAGGGCAAGCTGAACAGATTTCTTAGTGCTGTCTGAGAAAGTTGGTACAGTAGCTTTGTCTGTACTGCTTTGCCTGGAGTGGGTTGTTGGCGATTGGTTCTTTTTTAAAACTTCAGGACATAATGTTTACTTTTTGTGTGTATTCATGAGAGATTACCATTTGTATGATGGTGAATATTCTTATGATAAGATGCCGTAGCTTGAAAAAATAAAACAAACCATCCATATAGCTTAAAATGTTTTTTTTTTAATTGTTAATCATTACAGAATGAATTTCCCAAAGATATAAAAAACACTCCCAAGTTCTTAAACTTGGAACATGCCACAGCAAATGGCCTGAAGCTTTCTATCGTGTAACTCTCTAAAATGTCAGAATGTGAAAACTCCACATAAGGATTTTAAGAGCACATTTTCATTTTATGGGATGGATTGGTAGTCTTTCACAGAGCTGTTTGCATTTGCTCAGAACAGCCCTCACCATTACATGCAGTTAAGCCAGTCATGTAAATAGCTGGTTCTTTAGAGAAGCACTAAAGGTCAGGTCTACACAAAGATGGCTTGTTTTTAAACAAGGAGGATGGAGGCTGGGACTTAACCAAGCTACAGTTGACTTAAATCTGAGTGTTTCACACTCAGCCTATAAACCAGTATGGAGCACAAAAGACAATCCAATACCAACATGTAGGGATGTAACGATTCACTCAACTCACGATTCGATTCGATTCACGATTTTGATTTCACGATTCGATTCGATTCACGATTTTTTTTTAACAAACTGAGATTTAAGACAAATTATCAATTAAATGTGTCCTTTTATTATTGCTTAGACAAAATACTGTACGTTTCTTTGTGAAATT